TCTAAAGACTCGGATCTAAAGACTCAGATCTACAGACTCAGTTCTACAGACTCAGATCTACAGACTAGATCTAAAGACTCAGATCTACAGACTAGATCTAAAGACTCAGATCTACAGACTCAGATCTAAAGACTCAGATCTAAAGACTCAGATCTACAGACTCAGATCTACAGACTAGATCTACAGACTCAGATCTACAGACTCAGATCTACAGACTCGATCAGGTGGTCTGTATGAGGTTCTAACAGACGGAGAAACGGAGCTCAGACGAATAGTTTACCGTTAATGGTGAGCGAGAGAGTTTGAGCCGATTATTATAGTGCAGCAGCTCACACTCGTTCACCACAGCGTCGCTTTGCACTTCCCCTTTCTCAAATTAACTTCCTCACTCGCTCACACATACAGGAAGAGCTACTGCTCTCTCTCTCTCTCTCTCTGTTCTCTCTCTCACACACACACACACTCTCTCTCTATCTCTATTCTCTCTCTATTCTCTCTCCCTCTATTCTCCCTCTATTCTCTCTCTGTTCTCTCTCTCTGTTCTCTCTCTGTTCTCTCTCTCACTCTCTCTCTCTCTCATTTATCTCTATTCTCTCTCTGTTCTCTCTCTCTGTTCTCTCTCTCTCTCTCTCTCTCTCTCTCTCTCTCTCTCTCTTTCTCTCTCGTTTATCTCTATTCTCTCTTTATTCTCTCTATTGTCTCTCTCCCTATTCTCTTTTACTGTCTTTCTCACTCTCTCTATTATGTTTCTCTATTCTCTTTCTCTCTCTCTGTTCTCTCTCCTTTTTCTGTTCTCTCTTAATATCTCCTTATATATATATATATATATATATATATATATATATATATATATATATATATACACACATACATACATATATATGTCTTTTTCCTCTTCTCTTTCTCTCCCTCTTTCTATTCTCTCTATTCCCTCTCTTCTTTCCCTCTCTTCTATTCTTTTGCTGTATATATTCCCTCTGTATATTCTTTCTCTCTGTTCTTTCTCTCTCATTCTCTCTCTCTCTCTCTTCTCACTCTCTCTATTTCTCTCTCTCCACTTCTGTCTTTCTCTCTCTCTCTCTCTCAATCTCTCTCTCTTTTCCTCTATGTCTCTACATCTCTCTCTCACCTTTGTGTTGGAGTATATACTCTCATATACACTAATAAATTAATAGAAATTGTTCAACTAAAAACATTTTATTTATATTTGATTCCATAATAAGATCATAATGTTTTTTTCCTGAGAACCATTTTGGAGATGGTTCTGTTCAGACAGTGATGATATATCAGTCTTAAAGGTGCAGAAACATCTGTAGCTGTTTTTCTCCATCATCAGTTAAACCATGAAACTAAACTTGTTCGAAGCAACAGATCACAAACTTTAACACACAACACAGAAGCAAACTTTCACATTAAATGCTACACTCTTAAAACGATTCTTTGAGGGTTCTCTAATAAAGAAAATGGCTCTGTACGGAACCATGAACACTCAAAGAACCCTTTTCATGATTAAATGGTTCTTTGCATCATAAAAGAGTTCCTCAGATTGATGTAGAATCTGTTGTTTGTGGTTCTATAGAGCACCAGAGAGGGTTCTTCTATTGTTACAATGTCAAGCTTGTAACAATAGAAGAACCCTTTTTGGTGCTACATAGAACCCTTTTCAAAAACGTTCTATATAGAACCATCTACAACACATTCTTCATCAGTCTGAAGAACCATTTCACCATGCAAGGAACCACTTAATCATGCAAAGACTTCTTTGAGTGGTCATGGTTCTGTATAGACCCTATAGCTGGAGGATAGTGGACCACTGTTGGGTTGCTGATGGCAAAGCTGGTGGTCCACTGGCATTTTGCTCAGCATTTTCCAGAAGGCCCACCGGTGTTTCAGCAGAGTATTAGACAAAATTCCTCTTATCGTCACTCATTTTCTACTCACAGTCCAATTTACTGATTTTTCCTTCCTTCATTTCTTTAGTTACACTTTGTAAATTAGCTTAGTAAATCATTTTAATCCAGTTCAGTGTCAGCAACAACCTTTTCTACGAAATTGTTTTATATTAGGTCATATTTTTTTTTTCTCAGTTGTTTGTAATATTTGTCTAATATTTTATTAATATTTTCTAAAATAAAAGTCTCTGTCTATTTAAAATCTGTTTAGGGAGATTAAAAACTAGTTAGATCTTTTATGCAGGACAGTAATTTGGGTGGTCTGAGGGTCGACCAGCAGTGGCAAACAGTTAGCGGGGTGCTGACCTTATCATACCAGCAGGCCATTATGCTGGAGAGCCCTTTTCTTTTTTAAGAGTGTTAGTGCTGCAAAGATTGCAGATTAAGACTGAGGTGTTTTTATTCTCACTCTACTCAACAATCAGATGAAAATTTCCGTTTACATGCTCACTACGAGTAATCTGATTCAAAATTACATGCATGCGTAGAGAACCGCTTAGTGTAGACAGTACCATGACAACGAGCATCCAGTCAGAGTGAGACGAGCAGCAGCGAGTTAGCTGAGTTTTCAGTTGGTGCACTTAACTCAAGAAAACATGCTTCACATGTCCTTAATAAAGAAGCGACGAGAGGAAGACGTTACATCCTGCCGCATTCTGAGGCCATCCATCTATCCTGTGGACTATTTTTAAGTCTTTTAAAGTCTGAAGCATAAACTTCGTCTCCTCTGCTGACCAGTTTCTGCTCCCGCTACATTATAAACTACCGTTATGACACAAAAGCACATCGGCAGAACGTATTTAAACTTTCCGATTGGGAACGTAATTGGATTCAGGTGTTTACAGGCTATTTAGGACCACCCACCTTATTCAGTTGGATAGAAATTGTATTCCGAATGGCCTCAATTGGACTAGACTATTCTGACAGAGGTGTTTACATATTAAATTCAGACTGAGGTATTATTATTAATGGACCATCAGGCTTTAAACGTGGCTGTTGTCCCAAACGAGTTGAACCAGTGTGTTTGTCAGTAGTCAATGGCAGTGGGGACAGTGAGCAACCCTGCCATCCGTACTGGACACTCAACAACTGAAGTTTCCGGTAAAACTATACACTGTTTACATCAACTTACTGTGCAAACTGAAAAGTAATAGCAGCTTGTTTTAGAATGTGTAGCTTCTGTATTATTAATTAAAAAGATGTATTTGACGTAGGCTCTTGGGACATGTTCATTGTTACACACTTAAAAATGGTCCTTCAAGGGTTCTTTAGTGAAGGCAATGGTTCTGTATAAAACCATGAGTTCGTGAGTGTATAGAACCATTTCCATGCATAATTGGTTCTTTGCATGGTGAAATTGATTCAGATTGGTGGAAAATGTGTTGTATGTGGTTCTATATAACATCCAAAGGGGTTTCTATATTGTTTACAATGTCAAGCTTTTAACAAAAGCAGAACCCTTTATGGTGCTATATCCAAAGTAACTCATTTTCTTAAAAAACAAAATTTGAAACATGCCACAGAAGCATTTGCAGAACCTTTAAATACTACACCCTTAAGAAAGATGGCTCTTCAAGGGTTCTTTAGTAAAGAAAATGGCTTTATATAGAATTGTTAACATAGAATCATTAATCCTGCATGATTAAATGATTCCTTGCGTGGTGAAATGCTTCTTGATGGAGAATGTGTTGTACATGGTTCTATATAGCAACAAAATGGGTTCTTCTATTGTTACAAGCTTGGCATTGTAACAAAAGAAGAATCCTTTTTTGGTGCTAAATGGAACCCTTTCCAAAAAGGTTCTATACAGAAACATCTACAGCACATTCTCCATCAATCTGAATGAATGTATTGTAGATGGTTCTATATAGCACCAAAAAGAGCTCCTCTATTTTTACAATGTCAAGCTTGTAACAATAGCAGAACCCTTTTTGGTGCTATATAGAACCATTTTTGAAAAGGTTCTACATAGAACCATATGCAACACATTCTCTATCGGTCTGAAAAATGTTTTCATGATGCAAAGAACCCTTTAATCATGCATTGGGCTCTTTGAGTGTTCATGGTTCTATATAGAACCATTTTCTTTACTAAAGAACCCTTGAAGAACCATCTTTTTAAAGTGCAGAGTGAGCATAATATCAAACACTACCTCCAGCAGTTAATATGATCTTAATACTACAAAGACTGGACTGGACATTCTGTTTCTTTTCTTTCCTTCTTTCTTTTTTCTTTCTTTTAAATTTTATGATTATTAGTATTTTTGCGTTTGAACCATTTTGTTTGAGCTCCTTTCCTTTAGTAAGACTGCAGTCTTCTCATCTCTTTCTGTACACACTTCAAAGGATGGTTCTGTAAAGGTTCTTTAGGAATGGCAGTGAACCATGAGTTCTATATAGAAACATGTTTAAATGGTTCTTTGCATGGTGAAATGGTTCTTCAGACTGATGGAGAATGTGTTGTGTATGGCTCTATGTAGACGCTTTTTGAAAAGGGTTCTATATAGCACCAAATATACAACCAAATAGAACATATTCTCCATCAGTTTGAAGAACCATTTAAGTATCAGCTGGTATCGGAAAGTTGGTATTAAATTTTTATTAGTATGAGTAAATGAGCGCAGTATCGACCCGATACCAGTATCAGTATCAATGCATCCCTAATATCTTAGGTACAGTAGTTGATGGGTGGTGCTAGATGGTTGCTATGGCATTGCAGTTGGTTGCTAGGGTGTCGCTATGCAGTTGATATGATATTCCAGCTGGTTGCTAGGGCATCAATGGGTTGTTGTTAGGCAGTGGCTAGATCATTGCTTTGGTATTGATAGATAGTTGCCATGGTATTCTGGGTGGCTACTAGGATGTTGCAAAGCAGTTGCTAAAGCACCTAAGGCAGGCGTATGTGTCTTTATGTGCTTATGTGTGTGTTTGTACATTGTATGAGCATTTGTAGTGTGTATTAAGTGTATTACTGTGTAATAACTGTGCAACTACTGTGTAATTACTATGTAAAGACCATTCAATCATTAAATTGCGTGTTTCTGTGCAG